TGGAAGTACAGAGTTCTTAGAGAGTAAAAGAAAAGGAGATCTTCTTTCCAGTACATATACTCTGTATAGATTTTTTAGATAATCTCCCATGTTTTAGCTTGCACCCTCTTCTTTGGTTGTATCCCTTAGTCCAAAGTCCTTCTGCTTTAACCTCTCCAGAGTGAATCCCTCAGTCTTTTGCCAGGATGAGTGTGGGATAGTTGCATGGCTGCATGGATTGAGGCAAAGGATCTGTGGTCATTGGAGTTTCAGTTACTCATCTTTTTAGCCTCATCTGCATTCATGCCCTCTGATCTGCCTGTTTTCTTTAAATCTTATCTTTCCAGGGCTTACTGAAGATCAACTTGCTTCTTAGTTTACTCACGGACACTTTTCTGTGTTCTACTAAGTCATCTCATTGCTACTTGTTCATCAAATATCCATCCTCCAAAATTTTTATGACAGCTCCTGCCTCTTCGAGAGCTGCACATTCAGCTTTTGTCTTTTCATTTTTATTTATTTATTGGTTTAGAGCCCTAAAAATTTTTCTTAACAGTCTTTTGGTGGTGGTTAAGGAAGGAACAAAGGTACACTTACATATGGTTTGACTCCTTAATCTTTTACTTCCACACAGATGTACAGGTCATTCTCATTAGTTTGTCTTTTAATTTGTACATGGTAATTATAGGAGTGATCATAAGTTGATGACTGAACACTGGAGAGTAGATGTTGAGGGTTAAGGTCTCAGTGAGGATGGAAGAATTATGGCAGGGAAGAAAGTTGGTGGAAAAAGAATTAGGGTTAATGGTGCACCATAGGGCTAAGAATATTTGTTAGGAGTTGATATTTTTCAGAAAAGTACTACAAGGAGAAGAAATAGCAGTACATTATTTCATATTAAATTGTAACACAAAAATTCTTTTAAATTATTCCATCGATAGTGTGTACAATGTTAAATTGTATTTCAACTGCAGTGCCTTAGGGATTCCCTTTTCTCTTCCTCTAGTGGACTGTAACAGCAAGATTTGAGTAAATATTTGTAACAATGCTTTGTAAAGGCATCATTTCAAATGTAAGATATTGTCAATGCCTTGTAATGGTCCTATTGACTCATGTCAGCTGAGTGTACCTCTTACCAAAATATTCCACCTCTTCTCTAAATTAAGTTCTGTATAAAGTTCAGCTGATTTCTCAGAGTTAAATACCTTAAACAGTAGCTACAGTGTTTACAGTATTTTGGCCTCCACATGTAACAATACTAAATACTAGCTTGCCTTAAGCTACCTACTTACTAGATACTTAATGCAGCCTATAGCCAAAGCCATGCTTTTTTAGTTTCAGAGCAATTGCTCTTTTTGTTTCTCCATGTTGTGTCCCTAACAGGAAATTTCCTTTCACAGTCTCAGAAAGCAGCTTTCATGTAGAGCACAATGCGAGTGGTGCCCTGAGTTGTGTATTGCCAAGACACCTCTCCTCTCTCCCTTCCTAGTGCTTATGTGTGGGGTGCTTTACAAATTTTGGTTTGAAGGTGGAGTGGGAAGTAAACAAGATTGTTTTTTTATAAATGCTTTGTTGTTTTTAGAGAAGTTTTAGGTTCACAGCAAAATTGAAGGGAAAATTCAGAGATATTCCTTATATCTTCTGCCCCTATACCTTCGAGCCTCCCCCAAAATTAATATCCCCCACCAGAGTGGTACATTTGTTAAAATTGGTGAACCTATGTTGACACATCATAATCACCCAAAGTCCATAGTTTATGGTACCAATATTACTTTTACTAGTAAAAAATAATATGGTACCAATCTTGTTGAAATTTATCAAGAGATAACTATAATTTTTTTAAAATCTGAGCTTGTGGCATTAAAAACTAATTACTTTATAAAGAATTTCTGAAGAAATTATGTGTAATGACGTTGTAGTTATTAAAACAAGTTTTAAAATATATGAGAAATGTAGTGATCATAAAAATGTGAACTAAGTTCTTGATAGTATTAGTCTAAACCAAGATGCTTTATTTAAGGATATGAGATTTTTATTAGAAGAAGTTTCAGGCAACTTCTTCTGAGAAGAGTCTTATATATAGCATTCATTAGATATTAACACAGACCTACTATTTGTGATTCACGATAGAGTCCCAAACTTTTTAAACTGTAAAAGAGCAGTGCTATAAAATAATTTAAAAGCAAAGCCATTTTGACCTATTTATATTCTTTTGCTTTTTGCACCTACCAAAAACTAATTCAATTCTTTTGGTTCTGAACACTATCAGCAACCCTTGAGAGCATCTTTCAGTAGCTCTTGTCTGCTGACTGCTGTGTAGGCTCTTTATATTTTTTGAAAAATTGGCATAGAATGAGAGTCTGACTGAGGGACTTGAGGGCTAGGGGAATATAGTACTCCAGTTTGTGTCCCTGTCCTCATCTAATGATAGCTAGCCCTAGTGGTCTAGTGGTTAGGATTTGGCACTCTCACTGCTGAGGCTCAGGTTTTATACCACCTGTGTGTCAGTTGTCATACTGTGGTGGCTGCGTGTTGCTGAAAGCTGTGCCACCCGTATTTGAAATATCAGCGGGGTCACCCATGATGGATAGATTTCAGTGGAGCTTCCAGGCTAAGACAGACTAGGAAGAAGGACCTGGTCACTCACTTCAGAACAAATTGGCCATGAAAACCCTATGAATAGCAGTGAAGCATTGTCTGATACAAAGTGCCAGAAGGTGAGAGGATGGGGCAAAAAGACTGCCCGGAGCTTTCCACTCTGCTGTACACAGGGTCGCTAGGAGTCAGAATCAACTTGACGGCACTAACAACATCATCATCTAACATAATGATCGGAGCAGGGTAAATTACCGACTGATGGTAATTTCTTGCAACCTCAGTAGATGTAGGATAGCTCAGCTTCCTTTCTTATAAGAAGAAATGTGATCCAGGCCTTGCCACTTTCTAACTTGAGCCTTGGGCAAAATCCTTATTTCTCTAAGTCTTGGTTTTCCCGTTTGTAAAATGGGAATAGTAATTACCACCTTGGGTTTTTTTTTCCCCATGTGATGAATAAATAAAATAACAAACTAGACATAGTGCATGGCACTTGGTAAGTGCTCATTGATAGCTAGTGCTATGATAACTAGTATCACTGCTACTACTATTATTACTACTACTATGTTTGTATAAGTATTGTTGGCATCCTCAAATTTTCTGAGATACTGCCTCTTAAGTTTTTTGAGTTAGGGATTTTGAGAATTTGATAAAAACATAGAAAAATATATAAAAATGTAAAATACACATTTTAGACTCCTACTCTGAGGATAACGGATACCACTTCAAATGGAAACAACCTAAGTAGTGAATGTTGGAAAATATTAACCAATGAATACAGGTTTGTATAACAGCCAAATGGAAATTAGTAAATTAATAGTAGGTCCTTCTGAAGTAAGGCTTACTGTGTGAGAAGGTGTCTTAAGATGATGTCCTCTAACCGTTTGCAAACCATTTAACCAGGCTGCAGATTCCTGGGCCACAACTCAGGAAGACTCTTGGAGGATTATGGGGCTTCTTGAGCACACTAAAGTTTAGATCAAAGATTTCCTAATAATGTTTAATATAGCTATCATAGTTTATGGTTTTCTTAATTATTCACATGTAGTTTTGCTGAAAGGAGTTTCAAATATGAAGGATAGTATATATTTGATCAAAGTGTGGAATGGGTAAAAGAAGGGAAATTATGTTGGTAGATGTACGAATATAGGCAAAATGAGTTGTACAGTGTTCTGTGATGGGGTCACATTGTGTTAAACACTCTAACTCTTTGATTGCTAACTGTAGGATTTTGAGTAAAAATTATGTAACTTGGGGCCAGCCCAGGGGTGCAGCGGTTAAGTTTGAACGTTCTGCTTCTTGGTGGCCCAGGGTTTGCCGGTTCAGATCCTGGGTGTGTACATGGCACCGCTTGGCACGCCATACTGTAGTAGGAGTCTCACATATAAAGTGGAGGAAGATGGGCATGGATGTTAGCTCAGGGCCAGTCTTCCTCAACAAAAAGAAGAGGATTGGCAGCAGTTAGCTCAGGGCTAATCTTCCAAAAAAAAAAAAGAAAATTACGTAACTCTTCTAATCCATGTATCCTAATCTGAAAATGAGGATAATATACATCTTTACTATAGGCCTGTTGTGAGGATTGAATGAAATAACATGCATAACACATAGTATGTCCTCAGTAAATGTTAGTTGATTAGAGTTCTTCATCGTCGTCATTATCATTTTAGTGATTCGCAATATTGTGGGTATAATGTTCTTAAGGTTTCTCTGCCTGTTTAATTGTCACCTACTCTCCAGGGCCAAAATGAATTTCTCCCTTTTGAATTAAATTTCCCTACCATTTATTTCATGGTAATTGTTCCCTTCTGTGCTTTTATGTTCTTCAGCAAGTAGCATGGAGTAGAGACGTTAGTATTCACTTTTTTGGTTAATTGATATAGAATCCCTTTGACTTTTATCTATATGTGGCATGTCAGTTTTGCTTATAAGCTATTGTATTTTAACCTTAGGAGCTGTTTCGAGCTATCTTGTTTCTCTCTCCCCACTCTACCTGACCAAGATGTTTTGAGGGATCTGTTTATTTAAGAAGTTTACTGTTTAAATTAAATGTCTCTGCCTAAATGAAACTCAATTTATAAGTTAAATTTGTTTCAGAAATGAAAATCTTATTCTATATTCTAAAACCAAATATTTTTTAAAGTCTCCTGTTTTTTAAGCAAATATTTGTTTAAAATATTTACTTTTATTTCTTGAGCTTGACTAATGAAGAGCTGACTGCATAAATATAGTTATGAGAGTTTAGCCCATTTCTTTTAAAATTGCATCCTTTCACCTCCCAAACACTAAACTATGAAACCTAACACAAATACTGTAAGAACATCTGAGGTAGATAATTAAAGTATAATTAAGTTTAAATGCCTTGGTGAAGGAGTATAAAAATTATTTAAATTCAATCGGCTAGTACATTTGCAGTTTTCTTTTATTAGGTGTGAAATCTAAGAATCCGCTGCCAACTCTTGAGGGCTCAGTCCAGAACGTGGAGCTGAAGTACTGCAGCACGTCGTTGGTCAGATGTGCCTCTGGGACCCTGGGATCAATAAAAATTGGTGCCAAAGCCCCAGGTATGTGCAGCTGGACCGTGTAAAACTTTATTGCCTGTATAGGAGAATTGGCCTTGCGTTTTACAAGGAGCGTTACTGAAACAAGAATTTACTCATTGTTCCTATGAATCAGAGGTTTTAAATTTTTTTATTTTACTAAAAAAAATTTTAATTGTGGCAGGATGATACTTCTTTACTTTAGTAAATTGATTTGTATTTAAGAAAAAAAACTGCATGATTTTAAGAGTGGTTATGAGGGATAAAAATTAAAGGAAAGTTTATTCTCATACTTTTTTGGGGAATAGGAGATATAGATATATATGACACTTAACAATTAAATTAAAATATTGTTAGTATAATAAACAGAAAACCCAGCTGTTTTTCAATTTAAGGTTGTAATTGACTTCACCTTTCTACGAAAACTTTATTTCATAATATATTTCTTAAACTATTTGTAATTTAATTTTTTCCAGGGCAAAACTAAATTTCTAGATAAGTTTAAAGAGGTATAGATTCCCTTGAATGTTTAGAATACAGTGTGTTCATGTTGTTTCCTTTTATAAGCTTTTCTGAACATGTGGTACATTCATTAGCTAGATACTAAAGCTTAATTTCTTAAGAGTTAAAGTGCTTTTAATTTTATCAGTCATACTCTTTAGACTATAGCTAAATGTACAGCTAAAATTACCAAATATAGTTGAAATATTATAATGTTAGTAAAATATTTTAAGATCAAGCTTCCTCAAGTTACTCCTATATTTTATTTTATGATTTTTTTCCTAAATGTTTCTCTTCAGGTGATAGTGGAAAAGAGAAGTTGATTCCATTGCTTCAGGGTCCCTCTGACACTAAAGATCTTCATAGCAGCAAGTGGCTCAATGAGAGTAGAAAGCCAGAATCTCTCTTAGCTCCAGATTTGTTAGCCTTCACAGTCCAAGTTCCACAGTATATGGACTACTGCCACAATTCCGGTAAGTACAAACTTATCATTATTCATTTATTTTGCATTTCCTTTTCCAGTAAGGCTTTTAAAATTGGACTTTTTTTTTCTTCCTTTTTTTTTTTTTTTTTTTTTTTAAACAATTTGTATCCATTGGGATAATCTCTGGAGTTGTGCCCTTTGGGAAGTCAAATGAAGCATTTTGGTATCATTTTTGATAAATGGACGTTTGTTTACAAACAATAATGATTTTATTTTATTATTCTTTTTTCTTTGAGGAAGATTAGCCCTGAGTTAACATCTGCTGCCAATCCTCCTCTTTTTGCTGAGGAAGACTGGCCCTCAGCTAACATCCGTGCCCATCTTTCTCTACTTTATATGTAGGATGCTTGCCACAGCATGTCTTGACTAGCAGTGTGTAGGTCCACACCAGGGATCCAAACTGGTGAATCCCAGGCAACCGAAGCAGAACGTGTGAACTTAACTGCTGTGCCACTGGGCCAGCCCCTATTTTATTATAATTAATTATGAGAGGTATTTATTAATTATGAGAGATAATTTTGTTGTATGTATAACAATCTGAGATTCATATCTACCAAATCCAACTGAGTTTTAAAATATACTGTATCATGTAATACATAGAAAGGAGTAAAAGAAATTTAAAACATTGGAAAGAGAAAATATTTTTCTTGGAATAGTAGCACCTTGTGACCCACAGTTTGCCTTATTAAAATTAGATATTTGGGCCTTCTGTAGTTTTGCAAAAAAGAAAAGATGTTGATGGTGGAACCAAGACAACTCTGAGGTCAAGATGCTACTTTTTAGAGTTATATTTTTATCTAATAGCACTTTGCCTAGAATCTGTCTCATTTTGTTTCACACCCTAATAGCAGAGCCACACCTCTCATGTTGAGAGGAGATACCAGAAGGATCAAGGAAGAGTAAAAAATGTACGGCAAGTAGAGACCAATACCAGCAATGAGTTTCCTAGTCAGTATGAGGTTAGTAAAGCCAAGATGGTCCTTCACTGAGGCTAGAAATAAGATGGCTATTTACAGGTTTCTTAAAAGGGAAAGGGGTCTGATTTTTTTTCTTTAGAATTAATTGGCCAGTGAGGAAGTGGTTTCAAATGTTAACGGACTAAGACTGTGACTATGGGTAAAAGATTTTACCAATCTTTTGGGGCTGGCCCTGTGGTGTAGTGGTTAAGTTCATGCACTCTGCTTCAGCGGCCTGGGATTCGTGGGTTCGGATCCTGGGTACAGACCTACGTGCTGCTCATCAAGCCATTCTGTGGCAGCATCCCATATACAAAGTAGAGGAAGACTGGCCTGGATGTTAGCTCAGGGCCAATCTTCCTCACTAAAAAAGAAAGAAAGAAAGAAAAAGATTTTACCAATCTTTTTTTTTTTTTGAGGAAGATTGGCCCTGAGCTAACATCCGCCAGCATCTGTGCCCATCTTCCTCTACTTTATATGTGGGATGTCTGTCACAGCATGGCTTGATGAGCAGTACCTAGGTCCACACCCAGGTGAACCCCGGGGCCACCAGCCAAAGTGGAATGCACGAACTTAACCACTGCACCACCTGGCTGGCCCCTTACCAATCTTTTAAGGTAGTGGTTGGTAAACATTTTAATAAAGAGCAAGATAACTAATGTTTTAGGCTTTGTGAGCCATGCGGTCTCTGTGTTAACTATTCAGTTCTGCTGTGATAGCACACAAACAGCTATAGACAATATGTAAATGAATGGATGTGACTGTGTTCCAATAAAATTTTACTCACAAAAATAGGAGGTGGGCCAGATTCAGCCTATGTAGTTTGCCTACCCTTGTTTTAGAGAGAAGGGATTGTTGATTAAATAAATATCATGCTTTTGTTAATGGCTGTTTAATCATATTCCTTTAATATGTTGTTTGGTAAACTCCATTGTGTAATTATCCATATAGTAGTTTTTGGTAGGTTTTGTCTTCAAATCATCACATCATTAAAATGTTCCTAAAATGACCAAAGTGTCTGGTTAGAATTTTGACACCTAAGAAATAACTAAGCTTATTTGAATCTACTACATATTCTTAAATTCTACAGTCTCATTTTTTTGTTTTGCGATGTACACAGAATGAATTAATGAGTCTAGCTTGTTTAAACAATAATCTGATCTTTCTTATAACAATATTCATATTATTCTTTGTAATTTAAATGCATTTCTAGGGTCACAAAAATATGTTTGCATTTCTTAACCTTTTATATGGGCCTTAAAGTAACCAATTATAAAAAAATTATACCTGTGATATTTCTAGGATAAAGTTTTACGTTTTTTCTTGCTGTTAAGGAAATTCACCTAATCTTCAACATTAGTGTTACGTTTAGTGGTATGTTTATGGATTTGTGTGTAAAATTTTAATATGATCATGTATTTGGTGCTTTGAAAATATTCCTTTGGGTATGTTTTAATCCTAAGTTGTAATGTGTTTTTACTTAAACTACATTCACATACTTTAGGGCATTTTTAAATTTAAATTTTCCATCCACCTTGAACTGCCACCCACATTCATGGTTTAGGAATTTATGATATGGTATTTATGATATGGTTATGAGAGAGCTCATATGTATTATGTTTTTAAAGCCAGTTTTAAAATAATACTGATTAATCTTATGTTCCTGTAACAAGATTTAAAGTGGAGATGTTTGTGTGTGTGTGTGTGTGTGTGTGTGTGTGTGTGTATGTATGACTGATGGTATAGACAAATTATAAACAAATGAATTTTAAATGAAACAATTCGTAACAATCCTTCAACACTTTACTGAAATATCGTCCTTTGAGCAAGTACTTTCCTTGCCACTGTATATAATTTTTTTTCTCTTTCTTGCACACATGCACATGCACACACACATTCACACATATTTCTTATTTCTCTACTCTTTAGTTTTTCTTAGTACTTATCACAGTCTATCATACTATATATATTACTGATTTATCTTGTTGATTTTTTTTCCTGCTATTAGAATTTATGCTTCATTGGGGCAGGAATTTTTGTCTTTTTTGCTCACTGCTGTATTCCTAGTATCTAGAACAATATCTCACATATAGTAGGCTATCAACAAATATTTAGTGAATGAATGAGCCAGTGAGTGATGATTACATTTACTTTTCTTTCGTTTTGAGACTGGAGCACTGAAGGGAAATGACAGAGAACAAGAGTCTTTCCTGATGTTTAATAAAAATGATGCTGGGTAATTAAATCCTAGATGAACAATTAAAGGGAAGCACAAATAATCCCTATTGCCTTTTCTTCAAACAGATATCCAGATGAAGTTGTTAATGAACGTTTTTCATAGGTTTATAGAATTTGAATGGGAAGTATTGGAATGTAGAGTAGTAAGTGATCAGCTAAGTGATTTGAGGCAAATTGTGTGTTTCAGAGGAGTTTAGTGATCGTTCTAACTGGCTTCTGAATATCAGGGCATGACATGTGGAAGACAGCTGGCTTTGTGCGTATGCTCCCAAACCGAAGGTGGGAGATTAAAACTGGGGACCAGCAAATGTTGTGAATATTATATAGAAGTCATTTAGGAAGTGAGTTTTGAGAGAAGCTCAGTTAGATAAAGAGGCAGAGTTTTTTGACTCTGACTGCAGAATGTGAGGGAATGGACAGCTTTGTTAATAGGAATTATGTATTAATGTGACTGAGAGAAATATTAATGGCATTAGTAAAAATCATTATAAAAATAGTATTTTACAATTTAAAGATCACTTACATATAAATTCTTTTATTTGTTTAGAAAACAAGACCATTTCCAACAGAGCAAATGTTATTTCTGTCTTACAGAGGAGGAAATAGAGGCCCAGAACTTGTCCAGTTGCCCAGCAAGTCAGACTCTGAACTTGAACCTGGGGCTTCTAACTGTATAACATTTTCCCACAGTCCTAGGCTATTTATCACGTTGTCTCTTAAACTTACGGTCCATATTGCTAAACATTGCATCCCCCAGCCCTAAAAGCCCTTAACTATTCTTCCTTTCTTCATATTAAGCACTGTGAAAAGAGCCACACTTTCATGATGTCACAGCATTGCTTTGTGTTTGGAATCACAGCAACTCCCTTTGCATTTTTTCCTCTCCCCTCCTTGATTGCATTCTCTACTTGACTGACTCTGATTACAATGAAGTAGCTGAAGGCTCTTGTGGGAGCCTTCAGTGTGCCAGCCCATGTTCTGTATTCATTGTTACTATTCGTGGGAACCATTTATTGATGCTTCTATTTCTTATACTTATGTAGGTATTAGGGGTCAAATAGAGAAACTAGATGCTTCTTTGGCTCCTTCAGAGATAGGAGCACTGGGTGACTATAACTGATATGTAAAATATTTTAAAATGGGTTCTAAACATTTTTCTTCCCTTTTAAGTATAGACTTTGGCTCTTCTTCATAAGCTATATTTTGCCTATGATTTATAGCATGTTCTGCTTGTTAAAAAGTTCTGAGTCTCTGTTAATCCTGGTATTAATGTATAAATAAATTTCGGGAGGTCTGCTATTTAGGAATATGGAATGATCACAAAGTACTATAAACTTAGAATCAAAGGAACTTAGAGGCCCTCCATTTCAATTTCTAAGCCAGTCTTCGGAGTCCTTTTTATATGTCTCCCTCTCTCAGTGTGCTACAAATCTCTTGACCACCTTTCATTTTCTCTATGATGGTTATACTTTTGCATATCTTGTTCTTTTCTGACTAGGATTCTTACAACTATCCTTACCATTTTACCTTATCCCTGTTTAATTCCTGCTTAGTCTTAAGCTCTTAGCTCATCTACTACCTCTTTAAGGAAACCTTCCTTTACCCTATCACCCACCACCCAATTTGATTAAGTACCTCTGTTACATTCATGTTCATAGTTCACTGTGCTCTTCTTTCATAGCATTTAATGACAGTGTTTATTTATATAGCTGTGTGATTTGAATACTGTCTATCTTCACCACTTGACAGTGAGTTCCAGGAGGGTAGAGTTAGTCACTGGTTGCTTATCATTTTA